GGAGGGCCACAAAAATGATCAGGGGGATGCAACACCTCTCCTATGAAGAAAGGCTGAGAGAGTTGGGGTTGTTCAGCCTAGAGAAGACAAGGCTTTGGGAGACCTTATTTCAGCCTGTCGGTACTTAAAGGGGGCTTATAAGAAAGATGGAGACAAACTTTTTAGCAAGGCCTGTTATGACGGGACAAGGGGGAATAGCTTTAAACTAAAGGGGGGTAGATTTAGACTAGATAGAAGGAAGAAATTTTTTCCGCTGAGGGTGGTGAAACACTGACACAGGTTGCCCAGAGAGGTGGTGGATGCCCCATCCCTGGAAACTTTCAAGGTCAGGTTGGATGGGGCTCTGAGCAACCTGGTCTAGTTGAAGATGTCTCTGCCCACAGCAGGGGGGTTGGACTAGATGACCTTTAGAGGTCCCTTCCAATGCAAACTATTCTATGGTTCTATGATTCTAACAGGGTTATTAAAGCAGCTTTGTCCATTTGATCTACTCTGGAACATTTCAATGCCACTGTGACTTAGTAAGAGAAAGCAATGACAATTAAGCTTCAGTGGTTTGCAGATGATTTCACAACATAGAACTAACTCCTAATGTCATGGATGAGAAGTAGATCATGTGAGTATGTGATACCATGAATTAAATAATGTTATAATAATGAATGCATCCAATAAAGCCTATTTAATCCAGAGTTACTCCACAAATAGGACACAAGTGTGATATGACAAACTCATAAAATTAGTTAACATTTTTAAAGCCTGTAGTTTTAATTAATTTAGGATTCAATTTAAAAAAATATATATCTGCATATTGTCATAATTATGGGATTATGGGTACTCTGTCAGACCTCCTGCTGCTGCTACAGAAAGGTATACAATCTCCTATAGATCTTGTAACAGTTTTTTGTAGGCTAAATTAAGTTCCTTGTTTGACTTTTATACTCAGTGACTCTTACATTCAGTGGAAAGAGTCTGACAATCCCAGAAATCAATTCAGTCTACATATCTCAAGCCTGTATCTTAGATGTGATAAGCACAACCTAATATAAAGGATTTTTGAGAGTTTATCCAGCTGTATAATCAAAACTGAATGATTTGCAACTGGAAGAAATGGGGCGGGCAATATTTAGTGGGTTGTTGAATTATGCAATAGCATAGTCTACCATGAAACCAAATAGCCTTTGTAAGTCCTTTTTTTCCCTATATACTTTTTATCATAACTGTTATTATTAGGACACTATTTTTTTAGTGTCCTCAATATTTACTCTCTCATTCCATCCCACATCTGCAGCTGTTTCCCATCCTTTCTTCCTTGCAGTTCAGTAGCAATAAAGTATGAGGAAAATAATGTTCCAGAAATTTGCCTTAATCCATTGCTCCCACCATTCCCAAGGGATTCTTTACTGACTGCCCTTTATTTATGTTCCGTTGTCTACAGTGGGATTCAACTTCCCCACTTAAGATATCAAAAACATAGAAGTCAGAATCTGAGACGGAGTCCTCAGGTTTCCTACATAGTTACTAGAGAAAAATGGGCACTTACAGAGCACTATCCATGCTGTTCTAACATAAATGTCTAAAATAAGTAAAATGAATTATATCCTAAAAGTACATATTTCTTCCATTGACCATAAGGTGAGCTTAGGATGATTGGCTCAGTTGTAGATGTCTATACAAAAATATCTGAAGTTAGGTGTGATGAATTCCTCCCCCAGCTCTAAATTATTACAGCTCACACCATGTTCTTTTTAGCCACAGAGCTAAAAGCAAATACTTTAAAAGTGATAAGCAACAAGTAATACATAATATCATGTTACTGTAAAATGAGTTTTAGAAAGTGCCACATTAAAATTTTAAAAAGTTAAAGTTATAAAAGAGAAACTTAGAATCTGAACACAATCAAAATTACAGGTTTAATGCAGTCTGACTGGTTTGACAAGAATCAAATTTTTGTTTACTTCCTGTGTGAACGTAGTTGCCTTAAGACAAAGAAAGTTTCATGGGTCAATTTTTGGCTGAAGCAAGGTACAAAATGCATATACAACAATCTTATCACGGGGTACATGACTATATTAGATGGATAAACTCAGCTGGTTAACTAAAACTGACATATACAACATATAGAAGTCATATGAGTCAACTGACAATTTGTCCTGAATTGGTTTATACCATGCACACTGAAATTTCAGGTCTATATTCTTAAGCATTTGATAGAAATATTAAGAAAAATAATATAGAAAATAGATATAAATTACTTATTTCAAATAACTGTAAAAGCTATGAGATACAGGGGGGTGTGCACAACTGTGTTTACATTTATTTTAAAAGATACCCTCTATTAAAATATGCTAGAAGTTATATCCTACTGTGTGTCACAGTTACCCATCCCTCTAAGAAATATGTTTCAATCATACAAGAATACCCTACTCACTTGCCATTTAATGCTGCTACTCCAACAGTGCTTCTGGCAATTGACATACTTGCCACAAATGTCCACTGCTGACTTTGAGGGTCCCACCTCTCAACTGTATTCAGATAACTCCAACCATCATGTCCTCCCACTGCATAAATAGGCCCTTCAAGCACTGTAACTCCTAAAATGGAGGAGAGAGTGAGAGAAGATAAAAGTATGCTTTATCAATAACAAAAAAAAAAGTTTTCCAAAACACAGCTAACATGAACTTGCATATTCAAAGTGAAAATGGAAATACCAGTTTGTGATTTGATTAATTAAGGATTAACAACCAGGAATAAAATTAATGCCACTCCACATGGCTTTATGAAAACTAGGTCTTGTCAAACAAGCCTAATTTCATTCCTTGAGAAGATTGTTTGCTTCATAGAATAACCTGTCAATGATGTGACAGTCTTAGATTTCTGTATACTGCTTAACTTAGTATCTCCTAACATTCTGATCATGAATTAGCTCTTTAGAATATCGGTAAAGCACATGATAAATAAAAGATGGACTGGATACCTGATAGATCTCAAATTATTATCAGCCTAAGGGGGATTTCATTGAATGGAATTGCTTCTACCAGGGTTCCACAGGGAAGGGAAAGAAGTCTGATGTCTTCAGTATTTTTGTCAATTATGTAGAAAAAAATATACTATTTTCACTAGCGGGAAGCTTGGTGGACTCACACAGAATCAGAAAACATATTCAAAGGCTCAAGCAAGTAACTTACAGTGAGAAACTTAAGGTGCCTCATCAATTTACCTTATCAAAAAAAGAAATAGCAAGAGAATGGGTACCCTCACAGGAAAATAATGTTGGATATATAAGGATTCTTTTATCTAGTGAAGAAAAGTAAAACAAAATGTAAAGCATGGAAGTTGAAGTAGGAAAAATTTAAATAAGAAACAAATTTTTAACTATGAGGTGTTTTAATCACCCATTCAAAGGAACTGATGAATTCTCTATCTCACAGCATCTTCAGTTAAGCTTAGAAGGCTTCCCCAAGTCGGTTATAGCTAAATACCATTTGTTACAATACAGTGAGCTCAGTAATTCCATTCTATGAATCCATGATCCCAAATGAGCATAATTCTGAAAATCTCAGGTTAAATCCAATCCTATTCCTAAATCAGTGTCTTTTTCTTCCACTCCATTTCACGTGATTTGAACTCATCAAAAAGTCAGAAAACAGTAGATCATTAAAGTTTCAGAGAATGGGTATATTTTTTTCTTGCAGAAAAGTCTCCCTTTCATTTAAAACAATGTAAAGTTTCCACTTTCTGTGTGGAACTATGTTTTGTTCTATTTCAGAAAAGTCATTCATTCAAAGATTAATTTGACATTAAAAACTATATTTATCAATGAGTTTGAACAAGTTTCATCTCGGTGTTCACAGAAAGTGTTCCTGCACTTTGGATGTTGGGTTTGGTTTTGTTTTTTTTTTTTTTCCTAAACTTAAAAAAGTATTGAAAAACCCTACTAAGCCTTACTGAAATTTTCCTTCTTATAAAGCCTGAGCCTCACTTTTTTCTGTAGAACCTTCTGTGAACTCATTCTCCAATTTCTTCTGGTATGAAGAGTCTTGCTTATAAATGCTTTTTATTTAATTATATGTTTCAGCTATAATTGTTCCAGAATATTAAAGTGGATATTAAATTGAACTCTTGATTCCTATAGCTCAATATCTTATCTCAGGGCGCAACCAGTAGCAAACGTGTGGGAAGATGTGTCACTGTTCGCATAGAAAATCAGGAGATAATACGCTGTAGTTGTGGGGACTTTTTGTTTTGTTTTGTTTTGGGTTTTGTTTTTTTACCCTAATATCTAATAGCTATAAATATTCTTAAATCCTGAACAAACAGGTTTACATTGTCAAAAAAGTATTTGCTATAATTTGTTATAACAACACTGTACTCTTTAGCTTTTCATGTTTATACTCTTCACCTAATGCAAAGTTAAATAGAAAATCAAATCCTTGTTGGGATAAAAAATTAATCGTATTCAAAGAAAGTTTAAGTGTGTGAATGTTTCTATACACATGCATGCATATATAATCACTGTCTAGGTAAACACACAAACCCTCTCTCACCTTCACACATAAGCAGAGTTGTATTATTATGCAGTGAATTTAACAGTATGATGTATGTCAAAACACATCTCATCAGTTTTGAAATTTTCACCTTTTACTCCCTCAAATAGCTTATTTCCTCTTTCATTAGGACATAAAAAGTTGTCCTCAATTTACTTTTTTTGTCTCATTCACTATTTCATACTTTTTATCATGTCCTTTCATATTTGATTTTTATTCTTGTTTTTTTTCCCACTGTAAATTAAGCCATCCCAATTATTTCAGTCACTTTTTGTAGAAAATTTGCTTTCCTTTTAATAAAAATACTGTTCTTCCTGCATTTTCATGGATTCTTAGCTTTTTTTTTTTTTTTTTAATGACAACGAACACTGATAAGCTCCTTGCATTAATGTAATGGATTTTCTCTCCACATTTCCTCTTGTACTCTTTTAACTGGGTTTCATACAGAAAACAGTCTTCACTGACTTCTCTATAATGAAAACTTTATTGGGTTTATACAATGCATGTAGAACCCTGTGAGATGCACAATTCCTTCAGATTTTTTCCCCAATGTCTTTTACTTTGCATTTAAGACTTGCTGTTGTGTTGTGAATTCAGCTGGCTTTTAAAGTTCATCTGGGTGTTCTCTGATCTTGTCTGACCTTACTGAATAACTTTTACACACTTTGCTATCATGATGTTCAATTCCATTTCCACATAAATTAATCTTACATTGACACAGGGAAATGTTGCAGTTAGAAAACTGCCAAAATAAAAAAGTTGGTTTGGTGTGAGATTCATGTCATGCTCCTCTGTCAAAAGGTGTGAATGTAATTACAGCTACACCAATGAAGAAATCTGGAAGTTTATTTTGCTTGGAGAACTTTAAGGGATTCAATACAAGATTGCCTGTTTGAGTTTGCCAGTTTGCATTGCTTGTATAATAGGAAAATTTACTGGCAAAGCTATAAGAAAATTATTCTTTCTATACAGGACAAAGACAGAAGGGCTTCCGTACAAACGTAATCTTCCATGATGCTGACCATAGCGTATACTAACTTGCTATGGGTTTACACATTTAAAGTCTCTTCTATACAGAACACCAAATGCATTGACATTCTTACATTTGCTCCTTAAAAGCTGGTCCAGTTCTGGCCCCCTATGTTTTAAAATACTATACAAATACATTCTTCAATATTGAATTTCTTTCTGTTTTGGTATAGTTATGGCTGTAAATGTGAGGGCAAATCATCATTTTGGACTACATAAATTCAATATATTAATGTTCAAAATCCAGTTTTCTAGTAAGTAAATTAAAAAAAACAAATGAGGTGCTGTATTCCATGAAAATAGTATTATGTCTGTTTTAAGTATTTTGTCTCCTTTTTTAAAAATTTTGCTTTCATACTTGTAAGTATCTGAGAAGCATAAATGCAAAGTGGAACAGATTGAGAAACCCATAGTCACAGCTGGTAGTGACTTCATCTAACGGTACACCATGAAAACTAATGGATGCAGATGTTGTACATGTAAATAATGTAAATAGTATGGAGAAACTTCAGAAAGAATTACAAAAGAACCATTAAAAATCTGGAAAATCTGCTAGAAATTCCATAAGGGTTTATCAAGATATTTTTTCCAAGAGGTAATCCAATCATAGTGTATAAGTACCTGAATAAAGAAAAGATTGTACGATTAAGAATCTAACTGTTAGAGGAATAATAAGATCTAATGACTGGAACTAGTAACCTGTTAAATTAAGCGTAAGAATAATATTCCATATTTTAACCAATGATGGTAAGGATTTATTGCAATTATGAATTTAGGAATGTGCTAATTTCTGTGTTGCTTGAAGTTTTCATATCTATACTGCTACATTTTTAAACAGACATGCTCAAACTCCTTCAGATGGCATGTCCTCAAGACAGAAATGACGGAGAGAAATTCTGTGTTCCTCTTGCAGAAAGTCAGTCTACATGATCACAGCAGTAACATTAGGCCATAAAATCTATGAGTCTATATAAATTTGCTAAATTTGGGCATGGATATCACAGTCTTTTTGACTTTGGTATAGAGTCTGTCTCTTTCAGTAGTTGTTCTGGATAGAATCTGTGTTCTCTTCCCAAGTTAACAGCTCTGAAGGCTTGGCTAGACAAACCTGTCAAACTGATAATTGCAGGAGGTCTACTGATGACAGGTTGAAATGACAGAAATGTAAGGTTTAGCACATAATTTAACATATCATGACATAGAGAGTGAGATACTTTATGGGACAGATATCTCTGTGGAAACAACAGCTAGGCCTCTGTAGTGAATCTAATTGCATAATATGTTTTTTCTTTCTTGTCATTTAACAGTAAATCCATTGTTTCTCTTCTACTTTTCATTCCTGCACTATCCTTCACTCCAGTTGAGTCTCCTTATCTTCCAACCATTCTTCATCTATTGCTTAACACAGATTGCATAACAGAGGTATTATGGTGTAGGGGTGACAGAGAGTCACCTACTGAAAACTCACCACTCTTTTATGATATATCAGAGACCTTTTGGTGATTTGGTCTGTCAAATAGCACTGTCAAATAAGAGCAAACTGGTTGAATACTCATTCTTGGTTTCCCAATCATATCTCTTTCCAGAGAGCCATGGCAAACCCAATAGTTTCCTCTATTTGGAAACTATTGGCAGAAAAACCTGGATGCTATTTTGAGAATAATTTACTCCAGAAACAGTTCTCTATTACATATGGATAGGACTATGCCAGATTTGCACTGTCAGTCCTCCAAAGATGATTCTGGTAGTCTCAGCATTCTCACTGCCAATATAACTTCATGTCACTCACCAGAACTTACAGAAGCTATCTTCAATACTACACCATTAAACACTTTTCTACAACTCCGTGACATTTTCCTCACATTATTTCAAGCTCCTTGGGCTGGAAAAAAGCCATTAAAAAGTTCATCCAAAACTGGATGAACTCAATATTAAAATAATAGAATAATATGAAGTTTACTAATACAAAGCACAAGACTAACACAAGATTAATAATGAAATTAATTTGCTGGACTCTG